ACCAGATGCACAGCAACACTATGTATGCCAGAGTCGTGGACGCTGGCAAAAATCCCTAGCAGCATGAAGCCCAAGCGGTGAGTTTCTAGCAATATGTGTGGTGCTGCCTTTGCGATACAATGTATGTTGTGCCATCTACGATGCGCAGTACCAGATGTGCATCTTATGTGGTGGAACGCGCGTGGAACACTCTGTGAAATGCAACCTATGTGGAGCCATCTGTGTGGTGCAATCCATGTGGTGCAATCCATGTGGTGCAATCATCCGACCCCAACCCGCAGCTTAGTTTGCAGAGCCCATGCGGTGACGATTGCGATGATTGCTTTGCGCTGGTTAGCGCATCGCTGCGGCCGCGCAGGCGCGCGCAAGCTCGCGCGCAGAGCGGCCAGCTAGTCTCTCGCGACCGAAGCGGCTGCGGTCGCGCTGACCCCTGGGGACTCCCCAGCGCGTCCCGCAGGTGGCGCTGACGCGCTGGCGCCTCAGTGCGAGTCGGTGACCCAGGCGGGCGCGGCATCACGGCGACGTCGACATCGGCAGGCACGATGATGATTGTAGCGATGCTGGTGGCGACGATGACGAAGATGACGATGACGACGGCAAGGCTAATCACAGCACAGATGCTGACCACGCCGGTGGAGACGATGGTGTCCAAGCGTCGGTGATGAAAATTTTGGAAGGATTTCGACAGCGGCGCGCGGCCGACGGGCGCGAGTGGCCCGCATGGTATTCGCTGAATGGGATCGCGCCCCCCCCAACACGCGCGCAATGGCGTTCGAATAACAATCGCATGAGCGCGCATGTTTTTTTCTGAACCGCCATGTTGCATAACAATTGTTTTCATACGTGTTCGGGACGCTCGAATTTCAAACCCTCACGAAACATCCGTTTTGAAAGGGTGCGGCGTGCGCGCGCGACGACGCGCGCGCGTGTGCACGTCGCCACATGTTATGCGAACTGTTCCTGAACATGGACGATGCTGAATAAACAAATGTGCACGCATAAGGTTTCTTGCAGAGAATTTTGGGGAGATGGGGGGTCGAACCCGATTTTGCTGGGATGGTATGAATCCATACTGCGGGGGCACAATAACATGTATATTGCGCATCCCCAAATGGGGTCGATGATCTCGCCCTCGGGGTGGTGGCGGATGTATTTCTTAGTAGGTAGAATCGATGTGGCGCAATCTAAGTGGTGCAACAAATTCAGCACGATATATGTAATGCATTCTTTGTGGAGCAATTAGTTTGTGCAATCTTCTTGGTGCCAGCTGTGTGGTGAAAGCCATGTTGTGCAACCTATGTGTAGCAACATCTGTGACACAATCGATGTGGAGCATTGAGCGATGTGCTATCCAAGTGGTGCAACCCATGTGGTACAATATACGTTGTACATGCTATGTTGTAAACTATGCAAGGTAACCCGGAGAAGCAATTAAGGAACCCCCCGGCGTTATCATTAGCACCGCGCCGTAATTAAATCCGAGCGATATTATTAGCACCGCGCAAATGGAAGGAAAATAAATAATTCCAGCGCCCCGCCTCGGGTGGCATCCCAATTAGAATTGTAATGAAAATAAGAATACGAATGCGAATAAGAAAAAACTGAGAAAAGCTAAGGAAAAGCTTAGAAAAGCTAAGAAGAAGCTGAGAAAAGCTGAGGAAAGCTAAGGAAAGGCTAAGACAAGCTAAGAAAAAGCTGAGAAAAGCTCGGGAAAAGATCAAGAAAAGCTGAGAAAAGCGAAGAAAAGCTAAGGAAAAGCTGAGAAAAGCTAAGGACAACTAATGAAAAGCTAAGGAAAACTATTGAAAAGCTAAGGAAAAGCTAAGGAAAACTAAGGAACACTTAAGAAAAGCTAAGGAAAACTATTGAAAAGCTAAGGAAAAGCTAAGGACAACTAAGGAAAAGCTAAGGAGAACTTGTGACCCTCGCAGTGACCCTCGCAGAGTACCCCCAAGGCCTGAATATGGAGGAAGTCCAAGGCGGGAGCCTTGTCTGTGAGCGCGTCCTCCTCCGTGTCCTCCTCCTCCTCTTCCTCCTCCTCCTCCTCCTCCTTCTCTTCCTCCAGCCCCCATTTTTCTAATGAGATTTCTATTGCAACCCCTTTGGAAAAAATATTTTTTTCGGCCGTCGTAGGAGGTGGTCCATCCCAGGGTATCGCCCCCGCCCCCCACCGCGGCGTTATCTTAGCACCCCGCAGGACCAAAATAAATCCCCGAGCCAGAGTAGGAGTGGATCAGTGTACATGGTTACGGCACCGAACAGCGAGGGTCGAGCACTGGAAAGACGCGTGGCCACTGAAGCTCTCTGACTCCTCCGCATGCGTTTCCTCATTCTTTCAGGAGGGTGTACCCCCTCCTGGTGCCAGGATAACGCTTCCGGGTGCCGGGTGCGTTACCTTTTCACCGGAGAGGGGGGGGGGTCCTTAATCGCTTATCCGAGTCATGTAGTGCAATATGGGTTTCGCAGTCTTTGTAAAGGACGATTCGTGGTGCAGTCTGTTTATGGGTGTACTCTATGATTTATCTATATATGTATGTGCGGGTGAGGGACAAACTACCTTCTGCAACTTATGTTGTGCAACCTACGTTGTCCAAACTACGTGGTACAACCTACAGTCGGACTTCATTGGCTAGGACACGCGAGAGGACAAAAGACCCTTCCGAGGGCCACACATCGCCATAGGAATGCAGGAGGCATGGGTCGCGAGACACCAGACACAAAGGTACCCTTGCTTTGGCAGGGTCGACCTACTGATCCGGGCCAACTGTAGGTGGCGCAATCTATGCTGTGCAATCTACGTTGTGCAGCATGGGGCCGCCACACCGACATCCTGGGCCAGACGACGGGCGTCGACGAGGCGGCGACGGGACGCCGACGGCGACACCATCGCCGCCTGACCACCATGCAGGCCCCGACGCTGGGCGGCGACGGGGCGGCGAGGGCGACAACGTAGCCGCCAGATCTCCCTTCAGGCCCCCCCCGACGCCTTGCGGAGTCGAGGCGGCGACGCCAACAGCACAGCCGCCAGACCGCCATGCAGGGCCAGTTCCTCCGAGCAGGCACGATAGCCCCTAAAAGCTACAGTCAGGCACGCCGCCGTGCTTTCGACGGCGCTGGCACGTCCAGGCGTACTGGTCGACGTCGCAGCGCGGCAGAGGCGATCCGCGAGCGCGTCTGGGCGGGACCGGGACGCGGCGTCGCGAATTCACCCGCATAGAATTTGGACGCCCGAAATGGGTACGGACAAAAATGGGTACAATGCCCAACAGCAAATGTTGTCCCAAACCAACAGCGGCCGCTGTTGGGCAGGCGGCCTCCTGTCTCGAATGGACACGGGCCGCGGCGGCGCGGACAGCGAGCCCTGTTCAAAATGAACAGGAACTGCTGTTGGGCATGATACCCATTCTTTCCGTACCCATGTCGGGCGTGCAGACAGAAGAGCAAGGGAGGGAGGCGAGGGGGCGGCCGCGAAGGGGGGCGCTGGGCGCGGGGGGCGCTCCCACGCCGCGGGGCTGCCGCGAGCGGGCGGGAGCGCCCACGTGGAAGGGCAGCCCCTGGCAGCTGCCGCTGGGCGGCATCGCGACGCATCATCGTGCGGGCACGCACGAGGCGGGCGCGGCGGCCCAGGGGGCGGTCGATGGGGTATGGGGCCAGATGCGAACCCTGCCCCTACCCCCCACGATTTCTGAGGGGGAGGGTGGGGTTCACTCCATTCGGGAGTGCTCGACGCGTTCCCCGAGAGGCGCCGAGGAGTTTCTAAAACCACCATGGTCGCCATCTTTGTGTCACTACGTATCTGTTCATCGACCTCCCTTCTCCCCTGAGCTCGCCCCGGTACCGTTCCTGGACGGACTGGTGGGTGCGAACAGGGCAAGCGTCGGGAGGAACACAGTGAATGGTAGCGATTGGAGCCGTCTTGAAGGTCTGAGTAGTGGAGGTACGTTGGCACCCCTCCCTACGGCCGTTTTCGTTGGCCGAAGGACCGTCGGGAGAGCCTCAGCCCCCTCCATTGACCATGCCGCCGTAAGGAACCTGCTCCGTGGCCCCCAAACTGCCTCGCAAGGGCCCCCGAGAGACGTCCGAAGAGACCCCAAGAAGCGCTCATGAAGACTGTGATCCACAACCCAGGCACGGTGGCGGCATCACTCCAAGACGCCCAAGATGGCCTCTAACGTCGAAGATGGCCGCTAGCAGCCTCTAGGGAGCGGCTGGTGCTGCGCCGCCGGCGTGCTCGGCTGGCCACGCCGCCGTAAGGAAGCTGCTCCGTGGAAACGTTCGCGCGCCACGCGTCCGGGCCCACTGTGCCGCCGCATGGGCGGCCGGTCGGGCTCAGTACCATCAGGCGGGCGGGCGGCGGGCCCGCTCGGCTGCCGAGGGGGCTCCACCATCTGTGCCACCTCGGCTGCCGAGGGGGCTCGGACGCCCCCACGGGCCCCGGCGGAAACGCCCGCGGGCCACCGCAGGAAGGGGGGGTCCGGAAGCTCGGGGGGCCCCGCACTGGAAGTGCCGGGATGCCGGGGGTCTCCAAAGCCGCGCTGACGGCGTGCTCGGTCACCGATGCGGTTGGGAATCTGGTTTTTGTGGCACCGAGCTCACGGAGTGCAGAGTGTAGGAAATCACGATGCACCGTTTCCTTCATATCAAATATGTCAATGTATCGAACGAAGCGACACAGCGAGTTGTAGGAAAACACGAACCACGCGTTTCTACAATTGGTTTGGCCACGAACCACTCTTTCCTACAATTGGCTGTCCTGCATGGCCGTTAGCTAACACACCGTTAGCGCGTCTACGGTGTCTGGGGTCCATGGCGGGCTGGTCGCTGTCCAGACTCTGGTCCAAAAAGGTTCCTTCCCTGCCGCCGGCGTGTGGCGTGAGAAGGCTCCCAAGTCGATCGATTGCGCTGGCAGATCCTCCGCGCACGGGCGAGCGCGACGTCCAGCTCCTGCGGCGCCAAGATCACAGAACCCCGAGGAACTGCCACGACAACACACACTGATCTCATCCGCGTTGGCGACGACCTTCTCGCGCTTGGCTCACTGCCCGTCGTCCTTGCACTGAGCGCCAACACCCAATGCCACAGGTAAATGAATTGCCTTTCCGGCGCGTGCTGAGAGCGTTGACCCCTCGCGCCGACGAACTAAACCTTTCGGAACGAAGAAAGCTACTCCCGCTCCGCGTCTCTTCGCACGGCAAGGCCGCGGCAGATTCGCAGTGTGGTGTGACAAATAACAGCTTCGCTCCCCAAAGATCGCCTACCAGTGACAACGCCTGTTGCCACTCACCACCCTGCTCACATGCGCAGATGGAGCCACTGTAAGAGATGACTGCTGGAGCAAGCACTGCTTTCCACGATTCGCCAAGCAGCCACAGCGCCTGCTGCCACTGCCCGCCTTTCTCGCACGCGTTGACACCAGCGCGGTAGCTGATGTCGTTGGCCTCCAACGTCGCCCCCAACATGTCGTCGAGCAAAGCCAGAGCCCGCTGCCACTGAAGGCCGTTACCGCACGCGCTGATTGCAGCGGTGCAGCTGATAACACTTTGCTCCACCTTCGCCTCCAACATCTGGCGGAGCAGTAGCAGTGCCCGCTGCCACTGCCCACAATTCCCACACGCGCTGATCCCAGCGCTGCAGCTGATGTCGTTAGACATCAAGATCTCATCCGACATCTCGTTGAGTAAAGCCAGAGCTCGCTGCCACTGCCCTCCTTTTTCGCACGCGCTGATACCAGCGCTGTAGCTGACTAGAACTGACCCGTGGACTTCGCCCACGAAAACAAACATGTCCAGCGTGCACATGCCGCTACTTGTTGTTGCTGCAGATTGCTTGCTCATACTTGCGCACGGTCGGTTGCTGCTTGCTGGCTGCGTGCTTGCTGCTCGAGTGCGTGCTGCTTGCTTGCTGCGGTCTGTTGCTGCTGTGTCCTGCGTGCTGCTGCGTGCTGCTGCTGCTGCTGTTCGCTGGTTTCGCCTGCGGCGGTTGCTCGCTGATTCTGCTTGGTGTTGCTGGCCGCCCATGGCTGCTGCCGCTGCTCCCGATGCTCTTCCTAGGGCTCCCAACTTCGCGCTTCGCGCTGCGCGAAGCGCGAATAACTTCGCGCTCTCGCGCCGCCCTCCCAAAGGGAGAATAGGAGGACGAGGAGGAGGGGGAGAAGGAACGAGGACCGCGAAGCGCGAAGCGCGAATAACTTCGCGCCCTCGAGGGAGCCCTTGTTTTCGAGATCTCGGAAGTCTATACGATCTCCTGGATAATCCTGAACCCTAATGGGCCTGTCGCCCATGCAAGCGCATCCGCACGGAACGATGAATGCCGTGGCAAAGCGAGGCACTCGGCAACGGCTCGAACAGCAAGCCCTGCGGCGGCACGCCCCCGCGGTCACAAGGCACAGGCGAGCAGCAACGCAACTCTCAGAGGTCAAGCTCGCCTGGACGGCGGAGTCAGGGCAGCGTGGCGTAACACAGCATCACTGCAGAGCCTGCTCGGCCGCGGCTCTGCCGCTGGCTGCCACTGTCTGTTGTGTTGTTGTGTTACTCCAGATTTCGTAATAAAGGGAGGGGGGTCTCATTTCGGGGGGGGGTCTCTTCCAGGCTATCTTGGAGGGCCTGGGGGGTCTGGGGACGATGTTTTGGAGGGTTCTCCCACGGGGGAGGTCTGAAATGGCCTGTCTTGGAGGGTCCAGACCCCCTCCCTTTTACTACGACATCTGGCGTATTCTGTGCTTGCTCGTGGCTGCTGCCGTGCGGGTTGTTGTTGCCCATGGGGAGGAGGAGGAGGAGGAGGAGGAGGAGGAGGAAGAGGAGGAGGAGGAGGAGGAGGAGGAGGAGGGAGGAGGAGGAGGAGGAGGAGGAGGAGGAGGAGGAGGAGGAGTTGTTGCCGCTCCTGCCTGCCGCTCCCCGCCGCTGGCTGCGGCCAGGTCGCTTGCAAAAACGCTGCCCTAGGCTGCCACCGTGCCCCCTCTGGCACGCGGAGGCGTGGGAGCACGCAGAGGTCTGCCTGGCAGGGCTTCCGTCTTCCTATCAAGCCCCCCACCTCCTCCCTCCTCCTCCTCCCTCCTCCTCCTCCTCCTCCTCCTCCTCCTCCTCCTCCTCCTCCTCCTCCTCCTCCTCCTCCTCCTCATGCCTTCCCTCTCTCCCTGGGCCACTTCCCTGGCAAAGAGCAGCGGGCCCGCGCCACCGAGGCCACGCCCCCTCGTTCGAGCAGTGGTATGCGTCCTGAACTTCCAGCGCGGCTCCATGCAGGCAAGGCCAAGGACACCAACATGACAGCCTGGCCCAGGATGCCCCGAAGACGGCCCAAGATGGGCCAGAGGCGGCCGACCATGGCCTCAAGATGGCCGAAGACGCGTCCAAGAGGGCCACAGGAGGACATCCAGCAGGATCCGAAGAAGGCCAAAGCCAGTGACTGTCGCTGGGTTTTGTATGGTCGAAGACGCCTACGGCGAGCCACCGCCGCCCCCTGCCTTTTGGAAACGCACATGCGGCCAGTTGTTGGGCCGAGGTCTGGGGAAGCTATTGGGATTAGTGTTCGCTCAGCCGTTGTGGAGGCCCTTGGGGGGAAAGCTTGGGAGAGGAAGAGAAAGGAGGAGGAGAGGGAGAAGAAGGAGGAGGAGGAGGAGAAGGAGGAGGAAAAAGAAGAAGAAGAGAAGGCCTCTCGAGGCTCTCTTGGGGCCTCCTGGGGACTTCGTGGGAACTCATCAATGGCTTCTGAGCGACTCCTGGGGCTTCCGGGTGGCGAGCGCATCAGGCCGGGACCCCACTGGGAACCTTGCCAAGAACCAAAACAGACCAATGTCCAGCACGCCGTGCATCACAGCGGCAAGCGCGAGGGGCGCGGATTGTTGCATTCTCGCCTTTACCTGCTGCGTCAGCTCAAGACGGCGCACGAAGCCGCCACGATGGCTCCAGACGGCCCAAGAGGGTCCCAAGATGGCCCATGGGGACCCCGCGATGGCCCGAGAGGCATCAAATACGGCTCCAAGACGGCCCAAGAGGGCCTCCCGTGGGATCCAAGGCGACCTTACAAACCTCTTTGGCGGCCCAAAACGGCCCACGACAACGGCCCAAGAGAGCTCCCTCGAACAGCCACCACCCAGAACACTGAGCTGGCACGGTGGCGGGACTTGCCGCATGCAGCTGGGTACGGACGACCTCCCCTCAAAATCCCAACGATTTGGAAACACCCTCTGAGACCGGTGTGTGGCGCATGTTCGAAGGTATTATATGAGACCAGATTTGCGGCGTTCGAAAGCATTTTGCACTGAGTTTTGAAGTGTTCGAAGGCGCTTGGGACAAGGTTTACAAGGCCAGTTGCGTTTAGGATTGGGTTTGCTCGATAAGGGCGTTTCAGACCAGGCTGGCGGCTTGTACTCTGGGAACCGCCTCTTTGGCCGTCTCAAGCGACCTGAGGCCCGAAACAGCTATCAGGTTAGCATCCTTCTAAAACCATCGGGAATTCAAATGTTCTGGTATTTGGAGGCCCTCATTCAGGTCCTCTCGGATCGTTCTTGGGGTGCCTTCGGGCATAGTTGGTCATCTTGGAGCCCTCCTGAGCTATCTTAGGCGCATATGGCGGCATCATGGTGCGCGTGCATATCATGGGGCTCTCGGGGGCATCCAGGCGACTCCGAAGCAGCAGGGGGGGGCAAAATCAGACAATGGATTTACAACTGTCGCACTCGCGTGTTCTTGCAGTGTAGGGGAGACGAGCTCGCGCTTCAACCTCACCTGCCGCATTGTGCTGAGCAACGCCAATGATTGCTGCCACTGCTCGCATTTCCCGCAAGCGCTGATCCCAGCATTGTAGCCGATGACGCTGCGCTCCAACTTCACCTCCCGCATCTCGCTGAGCAACGCCAATGCCTGTTGCCACTGCTCGCCTTTCTCACACGCGCTGACACCAGCGCTGTAGCTGACTGGGGCGAAACGGTCAATATAACTTCTGCGGCAGACAGATGGAGATAGATGGTGTCCAGAGGCCAAGAACCACTGGGAGCAAAACCCTCCCCGGCCAGAGCTGTCCCGGGAGGTGCTGACTATGGATTCTTCCCCACTGCCGACGGAGTGGTGAAGGCCGTTTGCAGAGGAGCTCCAGAGGCAAAGCAGGGGCGGAGCAGACTGTAGATGAGACAACTCTGAGAAACTTGACGATCAAGCCTCTGGGATTAATCTCGGAACCGTCTAACGCTCAGTGGGCCTTGGAAACAGCAAAACCGCTTTTCACCGTTGCTGCAAATCTCTCCAGAAACTTTGGTTCCTGAAACGACTCACCGAGACACAGCAAACACGGCGCCGGAATCGGAACCTGAACCCGAACAACAAGCAGCGGCGACAGCACCGCAACAAAAAAGACGGCGACGGCGCAAGGAACAAGCACACGGGACAAGGCGGAACTGGTGAAAAAGGTGCTGCCCTTGCCAAGGCCCACTAATGCGGGATGACGGTTTATTAAAAAATAGGGGGGAACGATTAAGAAACTAGTTTCTGCTATTTCTGCACAATTTTCTGACTGGAGGCGAACGATTAAACAAAATCGTTTTCCAGCCCGCGGCCAGTTTTTTCTAATCGTCATCCCGGGCGCCGCCGCGTGAACACGACCCCCGGTCATTTATTAATCGTCATCCTCCATTCAGGTGTAGGGGCCCTGGGTCTGTCGGGTCTCGGAGACTTGTCGTGGGGCTCGGGCCCGCGCCGGCCGTCTTGGCGCGCTCCCAGAAGCTGTCCGAGGGGCGTCGACGCGGCCGCGTGGGCCGTCCGTGGCTCTCTGGGTGAGGCTCGTGGGCTGTCTTGGGTCTCGGGTCTCGCCCTGGGCCCTCCTGAACCGCCGTGGATGTTGTTCGACCATCCTTGGGCTGTCCGAGGGTCTTGTGGACAACTCCAGAGCCAAGGCTGGACCAGAAAGCAGAATGAGAAGAACCTTCTGTGGGAACGATGCTGGGACACCACTGTTAGAGCCCCGTTTGGCGCGATGCCACTCGAGAAGCACTCGAGACGTCACTTAGACGTCAGTTGAGAAACAGCGACTCGGGGCACTCTCGTGGAGTCTGGAGCTCTCTGGGTGGCCTCCCAGGGTCTCTTTAAGCAAATCTGGGCGACTTCCGTACCATATCGGGACCCTTTATGGCCGTGGTGGGGACGTCTTGGGGCCCTTTTGCTGAAACTTCCGCAGTCTGCATGGGGCTCTGACCGCCTTGTAATTTTTGAACGCCCGAAACGAATATGGAACAATAATGGGCACGATGTCCAATTACAGCTGCTCCTGTTGGGCAAGCAACGCTCTGTCTCAAATGGACAACGTCCGCGGAGACGCCGACAGTTGAGCAGGGACAGACCGTCCCGCCATTCCTATAGGCCTACCACGAACAGTTTGTAGAACCCAAAAATGCTCTAAGAACAAAAGCAATGTTCTTAGAAAACGAACAAAACGATGTGATAAAACAAGGCAGTCCCAGCCAGCAGCGTTCTGAGAACATTCCGTGGACACCACAAAAAGGTTCTTAGACCATCCTCTGGGAGGCCCACAGGCACGCTGGGACGCTTCGCCACTGCTTGAGACAGCGAGTCCTGCCCAGAATGCAAGAACTGCTGCCGTACCCACCTCGATCGTCCCGATGCACACGAGGCCCACGATGGTCCACCCGGGGCCGCCCGAGGCTCCACCCCGAGGCCGCGGCGCAGCTGCCGGAGGACCGACGGCGGCAGGGGCGCACCCTTCTGTGTCGAGATGGATGCCCGATAGCAGTTGGATTACGTCGGCCACGTCCCCCCACAGGGGGGCGTCGGACGACAAATTGAGACATCCCCCAAAAAATACTCCAAAATGGTCAAGAAATAATCCAAAAGTCGTCCCCCGACTATTTTTGACTATTTTTGGATATTCCTCCTGTAGAGGAAGAGGCCCGACTTAACAGTAGGAGCTCGATCACAAGAAACCTTCCGCAAGAAACCCACCCCTGGGAACCCCCCCAGGTTTCCCTTCATCTTTGGTGTGGGAGCGTCACGCTGTCCGTAGCAGAACCATCGAAACCCAGGAAACCCAGGGCACCCTGGAGGCAAGCGGGGCAATTCTTCGCATGGGTTCCCGCTGTGCGGCTTGCCGTTCTCGCTCGCGCTGGGCCTGGTAGTAGCAGCATGATGGGGCGACGACGGCGGCGGCGGTCCCCAAATACCGCAGGCTCGTGTCGCGACGAGCTCGGGGCTGGTTTCTGACACCACGGGGATCGTTAGGGGGCCACATGCGAACCCTAACCCTATCCCCCACGATTTCTGAGGGGGAGGGTGGGGTTCACTTCGCTCGGGAGCTCCCGAAATCGTGGGGGGTAAGGGTAGGGTTCGCATGTGGCCCCCTAATCGTTCAGCCATGAACGATCGGCCGCTTCCGAAACGTCAGATCGCTCAACACCGACCGACTCTGGATCGCCAGCGGACCTCAACGTTGAACGCCAGCGGCGGGGTCGCCGGCGGTCGACACGACGCGAACCTGCCGTACCCGCAGACGGGTGCGACGACCCGAGCGAACCTGGTGAATGATGGTGCAAGGGACTGCGAACACCCGCGCGCGGCGGATACGCATGCGGACGCCCGGCCCACACGGCGGCGGCAGTGCCGAGAGGTGGAACAAACCTCTGGAACCTTGTACACTGGCGATGCGGCGCGATCCTCCAAACCCCATCTGCTCGGACCCCATCTAGGAGGCCCTGGAGTCATGCCTATCGAGCTTCCTGGTCAGCTCCCTGGTCCTGTTCCAGTGCGGGTATCGCAGACTCCAACGATCTGGGTGTGCCAGGGTGGACCTGCCGGACTCGGGCCCCCGAGAGTGGCGAGAAGGCCGTGCCCCCGCTTGCACTTCTCGCCGTGTCGCGCGGCGTCGAGGTCGCGCCGAGGCCCGGACGACGGAGAGCCCGGTGAGCCAGCAGCACTCTCTCGACGTGGGGGATGTGGAATGGCTACTCCAGATTTCGTAATAAAGGGAGGGGGGTCTCATTTCGGGGGGGGTCTCTTCCAGGCTATCTTGGAGGGCCTGGGGGGGTCCGGGGACGATGTTTTGGAGGGTTCTCCCACGGGGGGGGGTCTGAAATGGCTTGTCTTGTAGGGTCCAGACCCCCTCCCTTTTATTACGAAATCTGGAGTAAGCGTCCCCCTGTGCCGCTGCCGCTCTCTCCAGACCCGGGAGACCTGGCGTAGCGGGAAGCCCATGCCCCCGAGTCGCAACCCTAAACATGGGAGGACCTGGAGTCGAGAGGGCACCCAGCGCCACAGCCACGCTTTCTGGACCTGGGAAGCTTGAACTGCGAGACCTGTGTCCTCATGCCACCGCCGGACTCTGGCCCAAGAATCGTTGGCTTGTGAGAATCCTGTGCCAGCACGGTCTCGACCTGGCAGAAATGGACGGCTGATGATTATTTGCGGACGCCACGCTCTCTGGCTCTGTAAACTTGGGATGACGATGACGTTGTGCCTCTACCGTCCTTTCGGGATGTCAGGTACGCCACTGCCTGGACCTGGAACGTAGAATCCACGGGCCAGCACTCATAGAGCGAACCCAGATAAAACTTGAGACGACGCACGGGACCTGTGGACATAGGACACACACACACCACCACCCTCGAGCGGGCAAACACGTACTGGAAACACCCGGGGAAACTTCGGACGCATCCGACGTGTGGATATTGTGGGACGCGCAACCCTGGAGCGGCACAACACACACACACCCCGTACGGAGCGCCCCTTGGAAGCTTCCGGGCGCACCAGAAACCAGAAGCGTGGACCACAGACGCAACAGACTGGAGCGGACACGCACGTACGGCGTGCACTCGGAACGAAACGTGGGACGCACCAGATGCGTCGACCAGAGACGCGCCATGCTCGAGCGGGCACGCGCGGAGTGCATCCCGAGCGGCCAGGGCGCGCCCTCCCGAGGCGAGGAGAACGACGCGACGGCGCCCCGGCCGTGGGAGCAGGTGCTCCCCGAGGGAGCGAGCCCGCTGCCGCTCGATGCCAAATGCCGGCGCACTGATCTGGGCACTGTAACGCAAACATCGGTTGGCTCTACCCTCACCTGTCGCATTGTGCAGAGCAGCGCCAGAGCATGCTGCCACTGCTCGCCTTTCCCGCACGCGCTGATCCCAGCGTTGTAACCGATGGCGCTGCGCTCCAGCTCCACTTCCCACATCTCGCCGAGTAGGACCAACGCCCGCTGCCACTGCCCGCCTTTCTCGCACGCGCTGATCCCAGCGCTGTAGCTGACTACTGAGATCCTCCTCAGTGCACCCGTGGGTCGTTGATAGTGAGCGTTGTTTCATTCAGCGTTTCGACATTGGGCGGAATGGGGAGGGGGAGGGGGGGGTCTGGCTTCAGACCTCGGCTTAGTGCGACTGCTTGCAAGAGTGCTGCCTCTGGGGGAGACTCCATCGAAACAGGCGCCAAGCGACGGCCAAGATCTACTCCGCGGGGGGGGGCATGGGGGCCCCCGCCGATCGGCAAAACAAGGAATCAATCACAAAAACGAGCACATACGTTGATGTCAACATCAGCGTGTTTGGGCTCACGACCTAAGCCGAGAACATCGTGCGACGATTCATCGACTGTCGCGCGAGGGCGCCCGTCCGCCTTTTTAGGCTTGGACGGAATAATGAAAAAAGGGGGGAGAGGAGAGGGGAAGGAGGAGATGGAGGAGGAAGGTGGAGGCGTGGAGGGGTGGAGGAGGAGGAGGAATAGGAGAAGGAGGAGGAGGAATAGGAGAAGGAGGAGGAGGAGGAGGAGGAGGGAGAAGCAGGAGGGCGAGGAAGGCGCGGAAGCAGGGCGGGGGGGGGATTTAAAACCCGCGTGCACAGGCGTGCGCATGGGTGCCAGGGGTCTCGGCACCCAGGCCGGGCTCGGGCGGGGGGGGGGGGAGAGCGGGAGGAGGAGGGGGTGGGGAGGGAAGGAGGAGGAGGGCAAGGAGAGCAGGCGACAAAAGCAAAGGGCCGGCGCATCGAGAGCGTCCACGACGGGGGCGGGCGAGCCGGGGGCGGGAAGCCCCCCTGCCCTCCCCCACCCTTCTCCCCTTTTGTTCTCCTCCCTTCCGTCCCCCCTTCCCCTCCCCGCTGCGTCGTCAATCCCTTCCCCTCCCTCCTCCCCCCCCCCCACTTCCCCTTGGCCCGTTCTTCCTCGCCCCTTCCCCCCTCCCTCGTCGGGAGGGCGGGAGGGGGAGGGGGCGGTTGAGGGCCCGTGCCGTTTCTTGGGCGCATCGCGGGCGCCCTGCGCTTGGGAGGTATGTCGGGCTTGCCCCGTGTTGGCACCCGTGCCGACTCGTGGCGCCCCGTGCTTTGAATTTACGCGGCAGGATTTGCACCTCATCGCTGCCACCACGTGGCCTACAACGCATGAGTTGCACAGCACAGCTTACACCACATAGTTTGCAATAGGCCAACACCACACATCTTACACAGTATAGTCTTGACCTCCATAGCACACACCTCATATATCATACGAAGTAGCATTCTCACGACATCACAGCTCACACCGCACCGATTGCACCACCACAGACTGTCATGGGGTCCACGCTCGCTATGGCTAGCTTCCTTAACAACATGGTGAAAATCCATGACTGATGGGCAGCTTCGTCAACAACATGGTGAAAATCCATGACTGCGGCCTCCACTGGCCGACATCAGGGTCCTCCTGCGCCTTCTTGAGAGCCTCCTGGTTTGTTTTTGGCCCTCTTGCGCCGTCTGGTCCCCCTCCCCCCTCGGGTCCTCTTGTTCCGTCCTGGCACCTTCTTGAGCTCCAGCAGCCGTCTTGGGGCCGTGTGGGGGACATCTGGAGCCGTGATCGACTGGCCCGGAGGCTCACAGGCGCCCAGGGTCCACTCGCGACAAAAAGTCCTTCTCGCACGCAGGGGTCGCTGAAATATTAAAAGGGAAGACGTTGGGCACCACCGTCGCCCGCCACATGTTGCTGAGCAGCAACTGAGAACGCTGCCACTGCTCGCATTTCCCACACGCGCTGATCGCAGCGCTGTAGCTGGTGACATCGGGATCGAACTTCATCGCTCGCATCTCGCTGAGCAACGCCAATGCCCGCTGCCACTGCTCGCCTTTCTCGCACGCGCTGACCCCAGCATTGTAGCTGACTGCTACGGCTGACCCGTGGACTCCGTCCACTCAATCTTTTTGAGATGTTCTCAGGGGAGCAGCGGAAATGTTGCCGAAAGGCTATCGGCATAGCAGTGCGGTGCGACGGAAACGAATCGCAACAAGTGTGGCCATGTGTTCGCTGGAGGGCCCAGACGCGAGAAGGCTGCTTGCTGGTTGCTGCTTGCTGTCTGCTGCTGTTGCTGGTTACTGCTGCTGCAGACTGGCGCTCATGCTTCTGCCATGGTGTGCGAAGGCATGTCTGGGACCTCTTGGGGTAATTATCCTTCGCCGTCTTGTGGCGTCTTGGCCTGGCTGGGGCGCTGGGTGCCTTCCAGAAAACTCTGCGGGACGTGGAACATGCCCAGGATAGAGCTCGAAAGACACGAATCGCAACGAAGCGTGGCCAAATGTTCGCCGGAGGGCCCACGTGCGAGGAAGCGGAGCAGCGGGCAGCGTGCAAGCGCGAAGCTCATCCTCAAGCGCCGGAGCAGGGAGCGCGAGGGAGCGGAAATGGCGGCGACGCAGCTTTCTAAAGTGAAGGGGCCCTGGGACACACAAACAAATAGACACAACTGACCAGATCCCCCACACGTGTTCCCATGTTTTCGGGGCCTTCGTCTCCCCCCCCACTTTCCACATTTTCCCAGATCTTTCTGGGAGTCGACGCTCAATTGTGTCTCCTCCTCCTCCTCCTCCTCCTCCTCCTCCTCCTCCTCCTCCTCCTCCTCCTCCTCCTCCTCCTCCTGTGTGCCTGTCCCCCTCCCGAGAAAGGCAGACCCTGGCGGGGTCCCAAACCCGACCTCGGGCGGAGCCGGGCCCCGCGTGGGGCGGCCGCTGGGCGGCGGCGGGCCCGGCGGGGTGCGGCCGCGGCCTCCACCACGGCCCTCCTCCGAGGGCCTCCGCCCGCCTCCGCCGCTCCGGGGGCCCTCGGCTCGCCCCCCTCGGGGGCTCCCTCGGGGGGCGCCGTTGGGCCCCGGGCGACGGTCGACGTGGGCCGGGGCCCCCCTCGGGCTCCTCTGGGCGCCCCGCGGGCCCGGAGGCCTCCTGGGCCGCTTCGGGGCCGTGGTGGGTCGTCTCGGGGCCCTCCCGGGGTCCTCTCGGGCCTTGGTGCGCTTGGGCCGTGTTGGATCCTGGGGTGCTCCGGGGCTGTCTTGGGGCCTGGGGCCCTCGTGGGCGCCTGTTGGGGCGATCTCGGGCCGTCTTGGGCGACGCGAAGGCGGTTTAGGCGAGAAGGCTAAGAGTGCACGCTTCCCAAATGAGATTGGGACGATGTGGGTTTCCTGGGGCCCTCGCGGAGGTCCTCTCGGGGCCTTCTTGGGGCACCTTCGCTGGGGCCGCCTCGATGCTGTCTTGGGCGTCTCGGAGCGCTTTGGGGGGCCGCCTTCGACCGTTTTGGGGCGCCTTGGCGCTGCACGGGGGCTCCCACGGAGCGTTTCTGGCCTGGTTCTGAGCCGCCGGCGCCTACGCCACGGCCAGAAGGACGGCCTCCCAGCTGCCGAAGCGCCCGTCGGATCCGCCCGAGATCGTGGGGTATCAGGGGCTGGAGCAGGTGACGCGGCCAGAGATCTCCCCAGAGTGTGAGCACTAGCGCCATCTGCTGAACAGCTCGCAGCGTCGCCTGCCATGATGGACGGAACTGCACCAGCGGTGCGCCGGTCAGGCATTGCACGTCCCGCTGGCGAGGGTGAATCAGCGCCCAGACGTAGAGCAATTGCCACAATGGGCTCTGCAACGGGACTGCCCCCGAGGTCTGCGCGCAGCCCGGCTACACCTGCTGATTGTGGTGTGGCCTCAACCAGCAGGCTGAGGGTCGTCAGGAAGATGAAGAGTCACCAGGCCATCATGTTTGAGCAGGGACCGACCGTCCCGGCATTCCTATAGGCCTACCACAGGATGTTCTTAGAACCCAAGTATGTTCTAAACGAAGTATCCCAGTGCGACCCTACCTAGGAGTTGGAGCCCCCAGGAAAGCAATAGTGGATGTTGTGCTGTGCTGCCCTATGCTATGCTATGCTATGCTGCGCAATGCTACGCTGGGCTAGGCTAGGCTAGGCTATGCTATGCTATGCTAGGCTGCGCTATGCTATGCTGCGCCATGCTGTACTATGCTATGCTATGCTATGCTATGCTATGTGTTTGCTTTGCCTTCGCTTTTGCCTTCACTAATGCCTTGATTGTTGCTTTTGCGTGGCACCCAGGGAGCGCAACTGGGGGAACCGCGCGTTTGCTTTTACCTTTGATGTTGCTTTTGCTTGGCTCCCAGGGGACTGGGGGAACCGCCCGGGGCGCGTTGCACTGCCCGGCCCTTTTAAGCAAACATAATAAGAACCCTTCTAGGCAGAGCCTAGGTGGGGAAAATCACTGTTCTTAGAACATTATCCCGATGAGTTAAAATTATCCCAGTGCGACCCTACCTAGGAGTTGGAACCCCTAGGAAAGCAGCATTAGTAGTAACAGTAAAGCTAAGATAAAGCTAAGCCACAGCTAAGCTAAAGCTAAGCTAACGCTAAGCTAAAGCTAAGCTAACGCTAAGCTAAAGCTAAGCTAAATGTAAGCTAGAGCTAAGCTAAAGCTAAGCTAAAGCTAAGCTAAAGCTAAAGCTAAGCTAATTCTGAGCAGAAGCTAAGCTAAAGCTAAGCTACAGCTAAGCTAAATTTAAGTTACAGCTAAGCTAAAGCTAAGCTAAAGCCAACCTAAAGCTAAGCTAAGGCTAAGCTAAAGGCTAAGCTAAAGGCTAAGCTAAACGCTAAGCTAAACGCTAAGCTAAGCGGTAAGCTAAAGCTAAGCTAAAGCTAAGCTAAAACTAAAGCTAAGCTAACGCTAAGCTAAAGCTAAACTAAAGCTAAAGCTAAAGCTAACGCTAAAGTTAAAGCTAAAGCTAAAACTCCCAGGGGACTGGGGGAACCGCTCCCACGGGACTGGGCGAACCGCCCGGGGCGCTTAGCACTGCCCGGCCCCTTTAAGCTAAGAGAGTAAGAACCCTTCTAGGCAAAGCCTAGGTAGGGAACAATACAGTCCCAACCAGAAACGTTCTAATACAATGTCGTGGAAACCGAAAAAGGCTCTTAGAACATTGTTTGGTAGGCCTATAGGCACGCCGGGACGCTTCGCCACTCCTTGACATGTGCAGCCTGCTTGGCAGCCGGGCACTTATCCTTCTTACGTAAACGCTGGGCTCGGCGCTGAGCTCGCTCCTGGTTCAGAATCGCAGGCGCAGAGGGCCGCACAGCCGCCGACATCACAGTGCCCGCAACCGCAGCAGCTACAGCAGCAACGGTGCGCCTCGGCGCGTGCTCTCGGATCTCCGCTTGCACAGCCGCCGCCACAAGGGAGGGGCCATCAGCAGTTATGGCGCGCATCGATGTCCAGCAAAGTGGAGGCCTGGGGGGAGCAGCTAAACAAATGCAGCCGCTTCAGCCTTGTCCCTTCTCGCATGAACTTGTCCCTGTGTCGTGAAGAGACTAGGGCTGACAGGTGTAATTGCGTCCACGAGGGCTTATGACAAAAATGATCAGGGGCTACCTGTCCACTGGGCTCGATGAAACGCATCGAATCCCAGAAAGAACTGGTAAACCGCTCAGGGCGGACGCTACTCCAAAGCCCTTATTCATCGTCCCCGGGTCCAATTTTTAAGGCGCCTTTTTTGTAACTGGGGGGGGTCCGGTTTATTAGGGCGCTTTCTTTGGATTGGAGCTTAGGGGGTCTGGCTTATTGAGGCGCACCGTCGAAGAAGGGGGTCCAGAATATTAGGTCGCATTTGGAGGGGGGTCTGGTGTTTTTTGGGGGGGTCGATAAAGAAGGGATTTGGAGTACTGTCGCCTTCAGAGCGCACTACTACCTCGAGAGTGGAACTACACAGGGTAGGCCAGGTGGGACGAAGTGCCCCCTATTGGCACGATGATGCTACATTGGAGGTGTAGCTCACAAGGGCAAGCTTGTGCAACCCTTTGCTCCTGAAGGCCTCTTGGCGCCATCGCGGCCTACGCTTCAGAAGAGCGTACCTTGTGTAAGGCTGCCCAGCCAGCCCGCAGAGATGAAGGAGTCAGCGATAGTCCCCGCCTCGAGACAGAATATCCAGTGACAGCAAAAGGCCTAGCTGTGACTATACAAAAAGTCAGCTGTGAGGACGAATAGGTGATCCCTACCGGCACAGAGACATTCGAAAGGCATTCAAGTCTGTAGACGAGCGTGTTGACGTCGATTTGCAGATAACGAACTCGCTGCCGATGGCGCCGCGGCGTCTCAGCAGCGCAATCCTAGGACACGATCCACAGACCAGGGACTGGGGGCATCGCCCTCGGTGGATCTCACCCCCCCCGCACTGAGACATCTGCCACGTCTCGAGCCCTGGAGCGCAAGGACGTGAACCTTGGCTCTGGTGCCAACGAGGGCACTGCAACATGCGCAACATAGCGTCAACCTCACCACAAGCAAACGCTAAACATCCCAGCGCGGTGGCAAGGTCGGCACCAACCGCGAATCAGCGTCTCCCTCATGCCCCCCAATCACGCAGGTCTGTGGACGTGACCGTAATGCCTGCGTGACCTTTCATATTCGCATACATAGCCAACCGCTCCGGCAGCACGAGGTACACGACTTTGGGGGAAAGGAAGATCTCATCGCCCAAGCGCCTCCTCCTCCTCCTCCTCCTCCTCCTCCTCCTCCTCCCCCTCCCCCTCGTCCAGGAAAACTTTGACAGGACACTGAACAGGGGCTTCCTGTCGTTTGGAACAAACGAACAGGTTAAGCTGCTGGAAGCCTGGCGCAGCAGACGCAACTTTGACGATGTCTTGCGGGTCGAGTGTGAAGCCCTAGAGGATCAAAAAGAACGGCCCTCAAAAGAGGAATTGCAACCGGCACTTGGAGTGGCACACTCCGAGTCGGCATCGATGGCAGCCAATGTTGAAGAAGAAGGCAACGAAGAAGCACACTCACGCACCCAAGACGATGCAAACTGTGATGCAGATAAGCGATCACATCCCTGCCGATCGGGATCTAAGACGGTGGGGCCACAACCATCAAAGATGAACAGGCGTGGAAGGGTGAATATATGTTGCTGTGTTGCCTGCTTGCGCCTGTCTTGGGCGCTCCGCTACTAGTTGGTTGGTTTGGTTGATGTGTTGTTGATTGCCCTGCTTGCGTGCTTGCTGGGTGTATTTCTTTGCCCGCTCGCTCCCGCTCGCTGCCGCTTGCTACTGTGAGGTGTTTTGTTTGCAGCCCTCCCGCTGCTGCCACCTGTTCACGTACTGCTACTTGCCGCTGCCTGATGCTGCCTAGTCCTGCTGCTTCTAACGCGTCCGACACTTGCGTGTTGCTTGTCACTGCTGCGCTTCTGGTGCAGGCTGCTACCGCTTGCCAAGTCTGCTTGTCTGCTCACCTGCTTACGTGCCGTCCTGCTTGCGTGACTGTCAGCCCGCTGGAATGATCGAGTGCTGGCGTGCTGGCATAACGTGCTGCCCGCCGTTGTCGCTGACTGCCGCTGCATTGTTGTTTGCTGTTGCTTGCTGCCGTCCGCGGCTCCTTGCGGCCAATTGCTGCCTGCCGTCAGCCAGTGTGTGCTACTGCCCCTTTGGGTTGGGTGTGGGTTACTGCTGTTGCTAAGTGCTGATTGGTGCTGCTGGCCTACTGCTGCTCCCCTCGGCTCCTCCGGCTGCTCACCTTTTGCTGGTTACCGCTGCAGGCTGCTGCTTGCTTTGTGGATGCCATGACAGTGGACACCCTAATCATCCGATCATTTTACAAACAATGTGCTGGACATGTTTTTTTCGTGTTTAAAGCATGGTTTAAACATGCCCTGAACATCTAGAAACTATTGTGCAACATGCTTCCTCTCCATTGATCGTCCTCCACAATGCTGGCGAGTGCTGCCTGCGGACGCCGCCTGCTGTTCCCGAGCCTCTCTCGAAGACCACCGCGCGCCTCGGTTGTGCTTCTTGAGGGGGCTCCCAGGCAGGCGCCCCAGCCCGCGATGAGGCCGCAGCAGGCCGAGGCCGCACGATCTGGATGGACTCGAACCACCCGTGTGGGACCAGGGCCTGCTGGTGCTTGGTGTCGGGTGTTGCTGGAAGTTCCCCTGGCCCAAGGTGCCCCCAGCATTTCGCTCCATTTTGGAGCCCCTGGGGCCCTCTGGGCCTCGTGCGGGGTGCCCTGGAGGCCATCTGGGCCACCCCGAGATTCCTGGGGGTACCTTCGGCCAGGGGTACTTCTAGCAACACCTGATAGTGGGCCCCGGAAACGGCATGGCTGTGTGTTTTTACCGTTTCCGAAAAAGAGCCCCTTGAAAACGGGAAGGCAAACAAACTGCGACCGGAAACGTCAAAAAAACGGCTCCAGGACATGATTGGAACCAGAGTCGGAATCGGTGAAAAACGGCGACGGGACTGGTAAAAACACTGCGTCGGAACCGGCAACAGACGGAAAAACGGAACCGGCAAAAAAACTGCCCTGTCGTTCCCATGCCCGCAGGACAGACCCAGCAAGATCAATGAGCATCGAATCGGGAACTCGGGCCGCATCCGAACGTGCGACAGTTCGGGCAGCATCGGCACGCAGTCGGAAAAAAAATCAATCGATCGGTCGCGCCAGGATGCACAACCGCGCCAGGCAAAAATCGGGCCGCACTGGATCGTCATACGATCGAGACCGACTCGGATGTCCGGCTGCAACATCGCCTCCCGCACCTCGCCGAGCAGCGACAGAGCTTGCTGCCACTGCCCTCCCTTTTCGCACGCGCTGATACCAGCACTGCAGCTGACTAGTGGGTACCCGTGGAGTAGATCCATGGGGTGCTGAACCTGGGACACGTACACCGTGGATTTAATCCACAAAACAGCTTGTCGAAGCCGACCAGCTCGTCGAAGTTCCAGAGCTCCAAGAAGCGTCCAAGAGGAGACCATACACAGCAGATTTTCAACAAAACAATTTTTCCAACCAGAAATAGGTTTGCTTCGGACTTGTTTTTATTGTTATGCCCCTTTGGGCCCCCTCTCGGGGTTTCCTGGGCTGTCTTGGAGCCTTCTTCGCTCTCATTGCGAGCCTCTCTGGTACTCCTTCTTTGGTTTTCCTAGGCACGCCAAAGAGAGGGGCCCCCAAGAAACCCACACTGAACAGAGCAACATGTTCGACCAAGAAACGGATTTGGGTATATTCCATGTGAACCTTCACTTCGGCCCCCTTGGAGCACTCTTCAGCACCCCTGGGAGCTCCCTGCGAGCCTCTCCAATGCTCGAACACGCGCCCAAGAAGCCCCCCAAATCAATAGAACATTGACAAGAGAGCCTGCCCGATCCGGAAGCGGCTCTATAAATTCTGTACAGTGTCATCCGCTCTTGGAGCCCACTTCGTGGCTTCCTGGGGGCCTCTGGGGGCCCTCCTGGACCATTTTGGACGTCACCTGGGCCATCTTTGGAGCCTCTTGGGCCGTCTTGGGGCCTTGGAGCCCGCTTTGGGGCCTCGTGGACAGCTCGTGGGGCCCTCTGGGGGGTCCGGTTTATCAGGGCGCTTTCTTTGGATTGGAGCTTGGGGGGTCCGGTTTATTTCGGCGCCCCGTCGAAGAGGGGAATCCGGGATATTAGGTCGCATTTGGAAGGGGGTCCGGTTTTTCAGGGGGGGTCGATCAATACGGGATTTGGAGTAAAGGCTCAACTGGGCCGTCTTGGGGCGTCCTTGGGCCGTCTTTGGGCTCTCTTCGATGCCTCTTGTGCCGTGTGGTGGCTATCCGGGAGGGCCCTGGAGCCGTCTGGGGCTGCTCTGGACCCGACGTGGGGAGAGCCTGACAGTCATTCAAAATCAAAGAAGCACATGTCTGGTTTTGCTCTCGTCTGGTCGACATCGAAGTCTTTTTGGGCCGTCTTGGGAATCTCCTGGCTTGTTTCTGGGCCGTCCGGGCTTGTTGTGAGGCTCGCTTGGGGCCTCCTTCGGCCACACTCTTCGGCGGCCATGAGCCCTCTTGCATCGTCGTAGCGCCTCTTGGCGGCCGCCCAAGGCCGTCCAGTGAGCGCCAGCAACCGTCCAGGGCTCCCAGTATTGTAGGACCGATGAGGTTAGACGCCATCTTCGCTTCCCGCATCTCGTCGATCAGCGACAGAGCATGCTTCCATTGCTCGCCCTTCCCGCACGCGCTGATCCCAGCGCTGTAGCTGATGGCGTCGGGCTGCAATCTCACCTCCCACAGCTCGTTCAGCAGCGACAGGGCTTGTGGCCACTCCCCGCGCTTCTCGCATGCGCTTATCCCAGCGTTGTAGCTGACTAGAGCTGGCCCGTGGACCACCGTCCACGAGTGCCAGTTGTCAGAGTGCCCTTGCTGCTGCTCATTGCTTCAGGGTGCGCTGCTTGCTTGATGATTCTGACAGCGTCCAGAGCAGCGCTAGCAGTACCAGCGGCAGCAGATCCAAGGGCATGGGCAGTAGCAACAGCAGCTCCGCCTCCTCCTCCTCCTCCTCTTCCTCCTCCTCTGCCCTTTCTTCCTCCTCGTGCTTGGCTCGTCCTCGTCCTCCGCCTCCTCCTCCTCCTCCTCCCCCTCCTCCTCTTGATCATAATCATCATCCTCCTTCTCCTCCTCCTCCTCGTGCTTGGCCTGTCCTCGTCCTTCGGCCCCTGCTACTATTGTCTCCTCCTGCTCCTCGACTCCGCGGGCTGGAGCGCCTGTGACGGAGGAGTGCGTTGACGGGGAGGACCAGGAGGAGGCCCAATATGTTTCGAAACAAAAATAGACCCGAAACCTCTTGGGACACGCTTGGCGCGGAAAGGGTCGCAAAACCAGCGTTCCTGGGTGGCCGCAGCTGGATCTGGCAACTATTTTCTGCATCCCCTCCCGCACTAGATGTGTCCCGAGAGGTGTGAGGCATGGCTTTTTCCTATGAGCTGATGCTTTCTGGGAGCCTACCGGAGCAGTTCGGTGGCAGCCGCCTTCAGCAGCCCTGGGGCCCGTGTGGCACCCCTTGTTCTAGTGAACTGGGGCCTTGTAGGCGTAAGGGCATGTGAGCGTATTCTTATTCGGCGTCTCCACACTGGGCGGAAGGGGGGGGTGAGGGGGGGGGTCTGGCTCCGGACCTCTGCTTACTGCGACTGTTTGCGACAGTGCGTCCAATGGGGGAGACTCCACCTGCTTGAAGCAGGCGCCAAACACAGGCAAGATCTGCGCCACGGGGGGGAGGGAGGGTGGGTGCGAGGGCCCGCGCCGATCGGCAGAACCGGTGACGATCAGCGTGCGAGGGCCGCTTCGGGAGAGCTGCTGGAGGCAGGAGGAGGAGGAGGAGGAGGGAGGAGGAAAGGAGGCAGGAGGAGGAGGAGGAGGAGGAGGAGGAGGGAGGAGGAGGAGGAGGAGGAGGAGGAGGAGGAGCCGCTGGGGAGCGCCCCCGGAGGCCGTCTGGGAGCCTCTGGGGGGCTTCTGTGGGGGGGCGGCGGGGCCCCTGCCGCCCGTGGGCGGGGGCGGGGAGGGGCGGGGAGCGCCCCGGGATGGGGGCCCCCGACGGGGCCTCCCTCGGGGCCGCCTTTGGGGGGCTGCGCGGCCCTCTCGGTGAGGAGGCCGCCGTCGCAGTCGTCCCCCGGAGGGTCGGCGGACCACCTCCTGAAACGCCTCCGAGCGGGCGCAGGCGAGCGACGAAGAGGAAGGCACACTCCCGGGTGCCAGGGTCACGGGCACACAGGGGTTCACAAGCAGTGCGGGGCGCCGCGGCTCTTATTCGGACCTCCGGAGGGCGCCCAGGGAGGTCTTCGTCGTGAGGATTCGCGAGGATTGAGCCTCGGTGGGGGGGCTGCTGCACCAGATTGGGCCGCGGACTCAGCGGGATTCGGCCGGACCGAACGGGCGGGATTATAGACCAGGTTGAGCGGGATTCATCCGGATTGGGCCGGATTTCGGTCCAGGGCAAGATCAGAATTTGACCTCCCAGGAAGTGCATCCGAACCTTGGGGGTCCCCAGAGCCGACTCGAGGGTCTCCGCGGCCGTCGTGGCTCGTGGCTGGCGCCCCCTTGGGAGATCACTGGGCGCCCTCCGGAGGAACGAGCGGCTTCGCGGGGCTCGTTGGGCGTCTTGTGGCCATAGGAGCGTCGGGAGAAGATCAATCGTTGTGCGTCCTCGTGGCCCTCTCGGAGGCCATCTGGGAGCCTGGCGGAGGCTGTCGGGAGCCTTCCCACGCCGTCTGGGAGGCCGCTTGCCCTGCAGAGCAGCGCTCAGGTGTGAAGGGGCCCTGGGACACGCACATAAATACACAAATAACAGGATCCCCCATATTTTCAATTTTTTTCTGGGTTCTTATCTCCCCCCCCACCACTTCCCGCATTTTCCCAGATTGTCTGGGGGATCGACGATCAATTGTGTCTGTGCGTTTTTGCCCCTCCTGAAGGGAGCCTTCTGGGGGCGCTCGCGAAACCCTCCCAGGCCTGGGCGGCGTCGCTCCACGAGCGGGGCCGAGGAGCAGTGTGTCCTGCTGGCGCGAGATGACGTCAGGCTCCAGCTTCGCCGCCCGCATCTCGCCGAGCAACGACAGAGCCCGCTGCCACTGGTCGCATGTCCCGCAAGCGCTGATCCCAGCGTTGTAGCTGACTGGGGTTCGGTCGGGCCTGTCCCCCATACAAAAAGGATTTTGGACGAAAAATAAAACATAGCAAACACATGCTCCAACATAGTAAAAACAAAATCGTCCCCACACTTTGTCAAAGAACATCTGTTTGAAATTTCCCCCTGTAGAGGCACACGCCAGGCTTAAGATTAGGGCGTGCCCGTGGAGCAAATCCGCAGGTGCCCTGGCAAGGGAACGCGGCGGGGCCCTTTCGGGGCCATCTCGGGTCGTCTTGAGTGCCTCTTGGGCCGTATTTGGGCTTTCCCCGAGTTTTCGTGCAGCACTGTTGGGCCGTCTTGCAGCCTTGCAGGAGGCTCTGCGACCACCCACAGAACCTCGAAAGTGCCCCAAAAGGAGCTCCTGGGAGGCCCACCCCTTCAACTTAGTGACAAGGGCGGATATATCTGCAGAGCTGGGCCTTTAGCCGACTGATCCCAACAGATAGTTACCAACTTAGAAACCAACTCAGCCAGGGGGTGATATGATGTTGCTAGATTGGATAGCTAAACGCGCTAACCTGGATAGCATGGCAAAGAGGAGGAAATTTAGTCGGAGGAGCCAAAGGAAGAAAAAGGTTGTACGAGGAATAGGAGGAGGTGGAGTTTAGGGGGAAGAGGTTCGGGCCCCTATGGATTTCAGAATTGGGGGTGGGGGCCCTGGACCATAGAGCTGTATCAGCGGGTCGGGTAGGGCAATGCTTGTGGCGATTTGAATGGTGGCAATGGCGATTCAGATGCTGGTAGCTCGGTGTCTGCATCGGTGGCAATGACGACGATGACGATGCTACAAGTGATCATTTTGATGGTGTCGCATGATTGATTTCAGACAAGGTGTGCTGCCCAGAACACGTGCAACCGTCGAAAACAACGCGCACGTGGTTACCCCGAACAAAGCACCCCGTTTTGATGTCCTCCATCGTGGCCCCTCCCCCATGCCGCCGTCCAAAGTCAGGTCTTCATCCAAATCTGAAGCCTCTGCGGGAACAACACTTGAGACACCGAACCCTCCAGAGCACGAAAAAATGCACGACTCGAGATTACTATGGAGGTGGATCATCATAGGCGCAGGACGCACCAAGCATTGTGCATGCGAGTTGATCAGCTCGAAAATGATCGAATCTGAAATCACACTCACGAGTGCACCCAAAACTTGCGCGTGAATGTAAACTTCACCGAACCAAAAGTCGCCCCGGCCATTCTTAAACGCAACGACAGCCCCTAGACAAATTGCCCTGCCGGTGGCGTAAGCAGAGGCCGAACTCAAAATATCCCCACTGGGATCAAGTGGCAGAACGTCGCACAACGCCCTGACCAGCTTGCTGATCGCGTTCCTAATGAAGAGCATGTCAATGCCGATCAATCGACGGTTTGCAAGACCGTGAAGATGTTGCATGGTGACTTCTTCCATGGTCCCCTTATCATACCCCTGGAGAGCATGTCGCCCCTCGGCCATAGCTTTGATGACTCGATGCTTCCTCTCTTGGAGGAACGTTGAAAGCAACCTTGCTTTTTTCCAGCTCGGAAGGGAGACGCATGGCTGGATGATCCGTGGGTTTGCAGAATCTACTCCGTCAGCTACACGGTGAAGGTTCACGCGTGCGTCTACGCGTTGCTCTACCATGTCCGACGTTACGACTCCATTGTTGGCATTGGTGAATATGTCAACGGCAATGCACAATGCCCAGGCGCCCCCCCCACCCCCACCTCAGCTCCCAAGCCACCTGCTTGACCTGCGTACTTTACGACAACGTCGGAGACCCACTTCTGGAGGAAGGGCGCCAGTGATACATATTCTGAAGCACGGCCCGACAAACTCGTGCTAGCGGGCGCGGTTCTCTCATGCGCGTACCCCTTGGGCCGCGCCCATTTCCCCAAGTATGCTTGCAAGCGGGTGACCCCTCAGTGGCTATTCCCCAACCGAACCAAGAAGTTGTTGATTTCCCGATCAAGCGCCCGCCCCACCATGCAGCAGTGCACTCAGTCCGAAGCAACTACTCGGCGCAGCCCCAGGTCGAGATCCGCGTCCGGCCATATGCAATCAACATGGAAACCAACGCCGGAAAGTACATCGAGGGCAGCCAGTTCACAAGGATCGTGCTGAGCTGCATATGTAAGGCGCCTTTGTGCGTCGCGGATGCTATCGCGCGCGCATGTGGAACTTACTAGAATCGCAAAAAGAGGACGGCATGAGGTAGCCCGTCGGATCGGAAAGCAAGGTACTTCTTGGCATGACAACATTTTGGCACAGGCGACATGTTTTCATTCCGGCCGACCCCTTGCAGGCTAACACGAACTTATGAGCACGATCGTCTTGAATTAAGCTGCCAAGATCCTCACGCAATAAATGCCACTGCCCATCTATAACATTGCGCGCGCCTCGTCTGAGACCTGGTTCGTCTGGATACTTGAGCAAAATGCAATTTCAATGCCTGTTTCGATCGGATAGAACATAAGGTCCGCCACAACAACTCGGATGACAAAGCTGGCCACTTGAGTTTTTTGAAACTCGAACAGAATGCGTGCACCCTACCGGCGTTCCGTCCGTCCAGCGTCCTGCCTGGTTTCATCTCGTCGCAGTGTGCGAACATAGTCAAATGACCACAACTTTCGGCAATTAAGTTCAAGAGCATCGTTTTGATTTTTCAAGCGGCACGGCACAGACGGCTTCCAGCCACCCAGGAATATGTTGACACCATACATCTATCTCTCCACCTTGAACAGATGGCAGCTTGACGCACTGCAGCAGAGGCCGATAAGTAGCGCTGGTCATCGCTGCCTGCTCGGGCTGTCAAGCCCGGGTACTCCCTGAAGATGCGTCTGGCAGGGCCACTCGCGCAATCTCATCATTCAGCTGCGCGATGGCCCTGGCCGTAGAATGGGACGTTTTGGCACGCAATGTCCAACGGGGCTTGTTAGAAGATGGCGGGGCGGAGCGATGCCGACAGACTCGACGCCGCCAGTCGTCTACGACATATGTTGCATTGCAACCGCTAGCGCGGGGTCGCGGCAATAACCCGAATGTGTCGTTACAGCGTGTCTGTGTCGCTCGTTCCTCCTTATATTGTTGGCTTCTCTTTTACCTCGGCGTCGCCATTTCCAATGGCATGCCCAAGCTCGCCTCAACGACTCGACTCCCGCCCCCGCCCTCTTAGGCCCGTAGGGCCCACGTGGGTGCAACCATACATGTGGGCCACGCAATCTACGCCACGAAGGTAGGTGACCGAAGGCTGGCATGCTAAGGCAGGTGGGCTAATGTAGATGCGCAGATGCAGGCGGGCTAGGTTCGGTAGGCTCAGGTGGCAAGGGCGAGGTCGGCGGGCGACAGTTGGTGCGCTGAGCTCTGCGCGAGCGCGTAGGTAGGCTGGCCTAGGCCGCGTAAAGCTAGGCAGGTCAAAGTAGATAGGGCGGGTTGGGTAGGCCGGTAAGGGAGCGGGCTCAGGTAGGTCTGCAGGCCAGAGCCCGTAGGCCACGGTTGGGTTCAAAGCCCGCTCTGGGCGGGGGGCACGGGTCCAGGGGCCGCGCCGGCAGCTCTCGCCAGGACGCGCGCGTCAGCTCCTCTAAGACGCCCTGCGGCCAAGCCGGGAAGGCCCGAGTGACGAGGGAGGGGAAGCGCTGGCGGAGCGGGGGGAACGAGGCGAAGGGGCGGGGGGCGTCGCTTGGACGGGCGCAGTGGAGGGCGCGGAGGCGGGGGCAGGGAGGGGGATGGTCATCTCCAAACACGGCGCCATTCCGCGGGCTGCTCGGCCCTGCGCGTCAGGGAGAGGGGGGGAGACGGAGAGAGCGAGAGAGAGGGGAGCTCATCTGTGTGTGTCTGTCTGTTTGTGTGCGTGCGTGCGTGTGTGTGTGTATGTGTGCGTGTGTGCGTTCGCGCGTGTGCGCGCGCGCGTTCATGCGCAGTGATCGAGGCACCCCGCGTTGAAGGAATGGGGAAGAGAGCGAGACGGGGAGACGTTGGCTAACGCTGCCTGTGTCGGCGCAGTCCCGGGCGCGCGCGATCAGCAGTGGCTCGCGCATGCATGGGCGCCGACAGCTCGAATGAAAACCGACTTGCGAGAGCACTGCTCAGCTATCCTTTACAGACTAAACTACCACTAACACGTCAAGCACTACCCCAAACCTTGCAGGCCTCATCGCAAGCCCACTTCTTGATTTCCTGAACCAGTGCACCCTGCAGTCTGGCCTTCGCCGCTGTGGCTGCGGACTGGCAATGCGCCCTAGACGCTGCCTGTGTCGGCGCAGTCCCGGGCGCGCGCGATCAGCAGTGGCTCGCGCATGCATGGGCGCCGACAGCTCGAATGAAAACCGACTTGCGAGAGCACTGCTCAGCTATCCTTTACAGACTAAACTACCACTAACACGTCAAGCACTACCCCAAACCTTGCAGGCCTCATCGCAAGCCCACTTCTTGATTTCCTGAACCAGTGCACCCTGCAGTCTGGCCTTCGCCGCTGTGGCTGCGGACTGGCAATGCGCCCTAGATGTGCGCGCGTTCCTTTCGCGGCCGCCGATGCCCCGCAAGCAATCGAGGACGTTGACCCCCCCCCCCCCATCTTGAAGATGCCCCCCGGGGGCAGGGGGGGGGGGGGGGGGGGGGGGGGGGCGAAGCGCGACTAAGAGCGCATCAGGGAGACAGGGGTGGAGTTGCAATGCATGGGGGGAGGGGCCGATGGAGAGATGAGAGACGCGATGGGCGCAGGGGGGGGTCGAAAGACTCAGTCGGGAGCGACGCGCCCCTTCGTCTCATCTGCCTCCTCCTTCTCCTCCTTCCCCCATCGGTCCGCCTCGTCCTCCTCGCTCTCCTCCTTCTCCCCCTCGTCATCATCATCGCCGCCCTCCCCCTCCCCATTCCGTGCGTTCTCCAAGTCCATTATCTCGCAAGCCTGCGGCGTCTGTTAGAAGCGCCAGCGTGGCCGCATTCTTGGCGGCGCACTTGCTGGAATTCATGACCGGCTTGGGCGCCGCGCCCGCATCCCTGGTAGGCGTGCGAGCCCTCGCCTTGGCCTTCGCTCCCCCTTCGCCTTGGCCTTGGCGGCCATGCGGCTGCTGGCAGCAGCTGCCGACTCGAGCATGTTTTTTCCCCACCTCTGCGGCCGCGCCAAACTCCGCCGCGGGCTCGAGGGTGCCACAGGCGCGGCAGGCATTTGCGCGGCACCGTCTGTGTAACAGTCCGGGGAGAAGGTCGCCCCTTGCGAGTCGAGCATGGGGGCGGTCGTCGGGGCGTCAAGTCCACCGCGCAAGGGCAACGTCGCGGCGCTGAGCGCGCCGCGACTCGCTGACTTCGATCGCAGATCCTTGAAGTTTGGCAAACGTTCACCGCCAGCAGGCTGTGGGGGAGCCTGGAACATCGCTGATAGATTCTGCAAGGCGCCCATCTGCTTGGAGAGCTGGGCGAACATACCGATGCCCTGAGCCGCCATGCTTCCCTGGCGTCGGGGCGGGCGCAGTGGCCGCCGAGGAAGCGGGCTGGAGCGAGGTGCGAGTCTTCTTGAACCCGGAGCGTTGGTCGCCTTCCCGAGCGCCATGGACGCAACTCCATCCAGCGGTGGCACGGCCATCTTCCCCTGGCAGGCGCAGTCCATCGCGGTGCGAGGCTGCTGTCGGGCTCATGGGGCACTTCGCCTGATGCGCACCTGGCCTCCTAGACTGCGAGCCCAACAGCTTGATAGTGTTCTTGACGTTATCAGCCCAATCTTTCTTCGACTGAGCTGAGACCTCAGCCATATCTGGAGGGGGGCCCACGAGAATAGCAATAACAAACCCCGCGCTTCAACAATGGTCTGTTTGGGCACGTGACCCCTAAACACCATTGGCGCTTGGCCATGCAGTCAACTTGCGGCGTAACTGAAACCGTCAGGTACCTGATGTGGGCCCAGTCGTCCTCGGCAAAATACTGCTCCATCTGATCCATCGCCTGGGTCTTCCATGCCGCGCCTGCTACAGGAGTGCCGCGACGGGCGCCGCTGCCAAGCGCCGTGGCCGAGGCAGCGCGCTGGTCTGGAGCCCGCGGGCCACTGGCGAGCTCAGCAAATACCTCGGTGGCCACCTCGAGCGCGACGCCGCTAGCGTTCTGGATGTCGACCGTCAATGCCTCCATCTGCGCCTGCATCATCGCGCCGCGGCCCAAGCCCGCTGCCGTCTGCGCGCTGGCGAAGGCCACGCGCTGTCTCAAAATCGCCACAAACGAGTGTGCCACCGCTGGTGCGGTCGACATGCGTCGCGTGCGTCCCCAGGACAAAAAGCGGGGCAGAAAGCGCCGGCAAAAGCTTGGGCCTAAATCGGCTACGGGGCGCGGATCATGGCATGAGTGGTGACCCAATGCGCGCCAAGCACACGTATTGTCATCATGCATATGGTTGCGCCATGAACATATGTTTCTTTAGTTTCACCATATATTCATATATACCTCCTTTTATCCCTCATGCGCTCGCTCCCTTCATCGTGCACACGATCGCTTTGTTGGAGCCGACAGCGAGCGTCGAGGATCGCCGAGCGAAAAGCCCCGAGGAGTCAACTCCGCACCAGGAGTTCACGCGCGTGGCTTGAACTCCCCATCAGGAGTCCACGCAATCGACCTTCCAGCATCATATTGAAAGATGTGTTGTGCACGTCGATTGCGTTGTCTCCCCATGGAGTTCAAATCACGCGTGCGAACTCCCCCTCAGGAGTTCGAGCGGCGTGTGCGTACTCCCCCTCAGGAATTCACGCAATCCAGACATGTGGTGCTCGGGTCCCTTTGGGGTGGTGGTGCGCCGCCTTTTTGGTGCCATAGCAAGCGTGTTTCATGTTATTTCAAGTGCTCCTCAAATCACGCAGTCTGTCAAGATCTCGCCAATCGATAATGAATTTTCCTCTCATGCATCGCTTCGCGACTGCACCCGACGTCCCTTAAGAGCCAGCTCCTGCTACCAAGTGCGTTGCCAGCTTACTAGCACGCGATCGATGCTAGCAGCCTTCCCAGCGAGTGCAATGCTGACCAAAATGAATAATTACCATTATTAACGGCACGCATGCGAAGCAAAATGCTTGCGCCCAACGCGCGGTAAGAACGAACTAAACCTATCGGGGCGCCTCAGGGCCTGAAGGTTCTGAGTGACGTTGGGCCTTCCACTCCACCAGGAGACGCGCAATCCTGTCGGCAGACCCCGACATTCTCTCTGGGATCCCCGAGTCGATCCTCATGGACTTGCCGGTCCACTCTCCCTTGTTGCTGCTGCAATACTTGATGGACAATTGCTGCCGATATCTAATGCACTCAATTTCCTTATCCATCTTCTCACGAGAGGGTTTCCAAGGCTCGGAGTTGGGGTTCTTGGCCTCTAGCAGCAAGAGCTCGAGGTTCTCCTGGGTCAGCTCCATGCGGAGCTTGGTCCTGCTACTAGCTGAAATCCTGACAATGGGAGAGCGCTGGCAGTCAGAAGAATCCGTCTCGTAGACCTCGGAGCTCCCTGGTGAGGGGTGGGCCCCCCTCTGGCTGATTCCCCTGATCCTCCTCACCCCTCCTCCTCACCATCCTCAGTCCCCCTCCACCTCCATTCCTTTGCTCCTCTTCTCCCTTCTCCTCCTCCTCCTCTTTGTCATCCTTCCCCATCCCCCTCCTCATCCTTTTCCTCCTCCCTCCCACCGCCTTCCTTCTCTATGTCCTCGTCGGTTTCCTCGCTATTACTCTCCCATCGTAGTCTCGGCCCCATTCGATGCGCCTGGAATCGAGTCGATCAGCTCTTCCTTGGGGCGCTTGTAGAGGGTGCCTTCCTGGGCGGGCCCATCGGAGGCTTCGTCGCTGACAAGGGGGTGCATGAGGCGATCGGTCCCTTCCGTGCGGGCGTGAGCGATCGCGTCGAGCATCGAGATGATGTCGCCTACATCTTTGATGAACCGGCAATCGACACGATCGATCGTGATGTACGCGGTCCCCTCGTAGTGTTCTTTCAACGCGAACCAGCTGCTCCCCGCGGTCGCAGCCTTCCCATCTTTGGAGATGGCCACCCAGTCCCCGAAGATCGAAACCATGGCCCCAGTTGGGCGAAGACTGGCCACCCGAACGACACCAAACGAACCAACAAAACTGCTCGAGCAGAATGCGTCGGACGGTCACGGCACCAGCCGAAGGCACTGGAAAGGGAATAGGTTCGGGTCAGGAGGATACGAAAGGGCGATGACACGGACGAGGGCGTTGACATGGAAACTGGAACGTTGAATATGACGGGCGGGGGTCGATGACGGCGGCAAGGATGACGACGGTGAAGTAAGACGACGGTCTTGGAGGCATCTTGGGCCATGTTGAGGCCATCTTGGGGAAGCACCGACTGCAGTGTGGATCACTTGGGGCTCTAGCATCGCCTCCAGCATAATACGAAGGAGTGCCAGAGCCCACTGCCACTGCTCGCCTTTCTCGGACGCGCTGATCGCAGCGCTGTAGCTGATGACGTCCTGCTCTACATTCGCATCACACATCTCGCTGACCAGCGACAGCGCCTGCTGCCACTGCGATCCTTTCCCGCACGCGCTGATACCAGCATTGTAGCTGACTAGGGCTGACCCGAGGACTACCGCAGCGTACACTTAGTTGTCTGCTTGTGTACTCGCCTGCCGTATTGCTCGCGTAATTGGCAGCCGAGTGACATGACAGTTGTTGGCCAGATCGTTTGCCGTCTGCTTGGGCTGTTTCGTTTACTTGCGGTTAGCATACCCCCTAGCGCTTTGGGAGGGGCCCGCATTCAACTGAGGATACCATCCCAGGTCTGCCCCGCGGCTCCCAAAAGCTTGCCCACTGCTGGCCCACACAGCGTCCGCCAACACACATGAGACCCCGCACCACCCGCCCGCCCAAAACCTTCACACATCACCCCCACGGATGCGCACCCAGGACACCCAGTATTAAGGAGAACCGCGCCTAAGCTAGGCGCCCCAAGGACATTGATGGATGAAGATGCTGTGTTGCACAGGCACCTAGCGGAGCCGCCCAAATTCTCCAAACAAGTGTTACTTGCACTTTGGGGACTTCGCTTCTCTTATAAGGAGCTGGCCGTGTCTTCGGTCTGGCAGCTAGCTGGTCGCCGTCGCCGCCCCGTCGCCGCCCGCCGTCTGGGCCGTGTCTTCGGTCTTGCCGTTATGTGGCCGCCGCCGCCGCCCCACATAGATTGCACAGCATATTTTGCACAATGTAGAGTCTCCAGTCCTGAAAGAATAGACATACACCCCCTCTCGGAATTAACGGTACCCGCTGCCGTACTGCAATTTACATACGAATCTGCCCCATCGTGCATCCGAACTACTATTTCCTACCATCCCAGGCAGGCCTGTATTGGTATCCCCCCTCGCCCTCTGCAGCAACAATTGTGCACACACCTGTTAATCAAAAACAATTGAGTGCCAAGAATCCCTTGCAAAAAAATAAATAAAAAAAACGGGGCGAGGTGCGCACGCACGCGTCGTCGAGCGCGCATGCCGGAATATTTCAAAAACCGCACGTGCCCTAAGAATGTGAAATTCGAGCATCCCGAACACATATAAAACACGTGCTGCTTCGAAACGTGATGAAACAAATGGCGTTCGGGTTCCTTCGAATTCTTGCAAAAACCAAGTGTGTGTGTGTGTGTGTGTGTGTGTGTGTGTGTGTGTGTGTGTGTGTGTGTGTGTGTGTGTGTGTGTGTGTGTTTTTCATTTTTCAAAAAGTTACATCAATTACTACAACCCGGGTGTTGCAATTTCGAATTGTTTGATAATTCGCTCCCGCGCACGAGTGGGACGAAATGCGAGCGCGCGCCAACAAGCGAGCACGCCGGAATCCTTCAGCAAATTCAAACGCCGTAAGACGATTTCAAATGCGAGAATAAAACTTGTATGGCCTTGAGTAATCAGTTTCAAAAATGCCTCCGCGCGAGCTCCTGCGAATTCGCAATGAAAACTACCACAGACTGTCTTCAACATGTGCACTGCAGTCGGCCACACGGGCCCCATGCGCCGCACGTCGGAATCATTTGAACGCCCTTGCGCGCGGGCTGGGGGTGGCACGATCAGCACTAACTAACACCATGCGGGCCACTCTCGTGCGTCGGCCGCGCGGGCATGTCAAAACTCCTCCAAGACCTCCATCCTCGACGGGAAAACGCGATCGCCGTCGGCGTTATAAGCATCGGCGACGACACTGGCTTTCCCGTCGTCGTTGTCACCATCGCCACCAACATCGCTACCCCGATCATCGCGTCTACCGTAGTCGACGTTGCCATCATAACGTGCCCGCCCAAGCCGCCGACTCGCACTGAAGTGCCCGCTGGGAAGCGCCCGACGGTCAGCGCCACCGCGGCAGCGTCGGCAGCGCGAAACTATCTGGCCGCTGTGCGCGCGAGCGTGCGCGGGCTAGCGCGGCCGCAAAGATGCACCAACGAAAATCCAAGCATTCATCGCAATCGCCGCCGCATGGGTTTGCAAACTAAGTTGCAGGTAGGTGGGTGGGATGATTGCGCGAGAAGTGGCGTTGACAACTCACCGCGGACAGAAACAATTTGCATGCCATTGCATTCATCACATAGACTGCGAACCGCCTACGCAAAGCATGGAGGGCATCACATTGGTTGAATCAGATCGATTTCCTTTCTCTAAAAAGAGAAGAAACTCTACCCCCACCCGCGCGCGTTCTCGGCCCCCCTTTTCGGGTATGTAACTCATATATGATCCTGACCACATGTCCATCCTAAATATGAATTTGCACTACCCCCGAGGGGCCGGGATCGCCCCCCTCGAAGTTCCCTTGATCAAAACATGCGCGGGGACATTTTTTGCTCGAGCACAAGACATTTTTTCACGAATCCTTTTGCAAAACAATGGGGCGAAGTGCGCACGCGCGCGTCGTCGCGCGCGCATGCCGAAATCCTTCCAACACCTTCGGTGCCGGAAGGATTCCGCAATCGAGTTTCAAAAAAACAACTAACGAAAACACATGGTTTCGCAACACTGCTTTGCTAAAGCAGCTTACGCGCGAGCTCTTGCGAAATCTTAGGACCACTATAGGTATTAAAGGTGTTCACCAAATGCTACCAAACGGGCTTCGGATGCGCGCATGTCGAAATCTGTCGTACGTCCTTGTGCGTGTGCCGCCGCGGGAATCCTCTGCAACAAATGGGGCGAAATGCAGAAGCGCGCGTTGTCGCGCGCGTATGCCGAAATCCTTCAACACCCATCGGGTTCGGGAAGATTTCAAAATCGTGGGTCCAGAAAGCCTCCAAAAGCACTAGGTTTCGCAACACGGATTTTCAGCAGAAACGTGCGCGCGCGAACTTGTGTCGTCGTCGTCGTCGTCGCCGTCCTCCCTCCTCCAGCGTCGTCGTCGTCGTGGACTACGTCGTACTGTGTCTTTCCTCGTGTTCGTCATCGTCGTCCTCTCTGGCGTCGTGGTCGTTTCCGTCGTAGTTGTCGGCGTGGTCGTCCTTCCTCCTCCTCCCTCGTCGTCGTCGTCGTCCGTCGTCGGCGTTTCGTCGTCGTCGTCGTCGTCGTCGTCGTCGCCGTCGTCGTCGTCGTCGTCGTCGTCGTCGTCCCTCCTCCCTCGTCGTTGTCGTCGTCGGCGTCCCCGTCCTTCCTCCTTCTTCGTCGTTCGCGTCGTCGCCGTCCTCCCTCCTCCCTCATCGTTGTCGTCGTCGTCGTCGTTGTCGCCGTCGTCGTCCTCCGTCCTCCCTCGTCGTCGCCTTCGTTGGCGACGTCGTCGTCGTCGGCGTCGGCGTCGTCGTCTTCGTCGTCGTCGACGTCGGCGTCGTCGTCGCCGCCGCCGTCGTCGTCGTCGTCGTCGTCGTCGGCGTCGTTGACGTCGTCGTCGTCGTCGGTGTCGTCGTTGTCGTCGTCGTCGCCGTCGTCATCGTCGTCGTCGGCGTCGGCGTCGTCGTCGTCGTCGGTGTCGTTGTCGTTGTCGTCCTCGTCGTTGTCGTCGTCGTCGAAGTCGTCGGAGACGTCGTCGGTGTCGTCGTCGTCGTGGTCGTCGGTGTCGTCGTAGTCAGCCTTAAGAAAGTTTGCAACCCAAATTGCGGGTTGGTGAATGTGATGTTTGCAAAAGCATGGGTAAAAATCCAGTGCGCCCACTATATCACACCACGTATTGCAAACATCATTTCCTTACCATATGTTGCACAATGCTAGTCGTCGCTAACCCCCGAACAATGGTTCTAACAATAAGTAGTTCGAGGTCTACGTGGGGCAACTTCGCTTGCGCAACCTATGTTGCACAATCTGTGATGCTAACTACATGTTGCAACCTATGGCGTGCAACCTACGTTGTGAAATACGCGTTGCGCAACCGATGCGTACCTTATTCGGGTCAAAATAGTTTGTGCAAGCTGTGGTGCAGCCTACGTGGCGCAATGTATGCTACGCAGTGCATTCTGTGTGGTGCCCCTTGTGCGGTCAACATGCATGGTGCTATCTATGCGGTGCAATCCACTTTGACACTCTTGAAGATGCCCTCTCCACTGCTCGCGCAAGCACCCTACCCTCCCACCCGCAATTTGGTTTGCAAAACCCATACGAGAGCGATTGCGATGAGTGCTGGGCGTTGGCTGGCGCACCTTCGCGGCCGCGCTAGCCCGCGCATGCTCGGGCGCGCAGCGGCCAGCTAGTTTGGCGCGGCCGGCGCGGACGCGGTGGCGCTGACTGCTCGGCGCATTCCAGCGGGCACTTCCGTGCGAGTCGGCGACTTGGGCGGGCGCGGTGTCATTGCAACGTCGACAACGGTAGACACAATGATGATAGTAGCGATGCTGGCGACGATGCTGACAGCGACGACGGGGCAGCCAGTCAAGGCGCCGATGCTGATCACGCCGACAACGATGACGGCGTCTGCGCGTCGGTGATGGAGGTTTTGGAAGGAATTCGAAATGCGCGCACGGCAGACGCGCGATAGTGGCCCGCGTGGTATTATTAGACACGGATGGTGCCACCAAAGCTCGCGCGCAAGGGCGTTCGAGCGATTTCGACATGCGCGCGCGAAGCCCATTTGGTAGCATGTCACGAAAATGTTGGGAACTTGTGGTTCCCTTAAGAATTCTCAGGAACACGCGCGCACGCTTTTGTTGAACATCCGTGTTGCGAAACCCTGAGTCCTTACATGTTGTTTGGGCACTCGATTTTGGCACCATTCCGGAACCGCAGGTTTATGACGAATTTCGGCATGCGCGCGAGACGACGCGCGCGCACTTCGTCTTATTTGCTGCAAAGCTTATCGCGACGGCACTTGCACAAGGGCATTCAAACGATTGCGACATTCGCGCGCGAGGCCAGTTTGGTAGCATTTTTTGAAAATGCCCTTGGTTGCTTGGAACTTCTCAAAGAGCGCGCGCGCACGCTGTTGTGGAACATCCGCGTTGCGAAACCCTGTGTTTTTTAATTTTTTTTGGGCACTCGATTTTGACACCCTTCCGACACCGCAGGTGTTTGACGCATTTCGGCATGCGCGCGCGTCGACGCGCGCG